GGCGTCAGGAGGAAATAATAAAAAACCACGAGAAATTAAAAAGTCGCGAGGGGGTCGGACGGGCGCGCGGCCGAAAAGAATATGGCTCGCGTTTAAAAGAAACACGGCTGCGGCCCTCGTATAATAATATTTTCGGGTGCGACCGCCCGTACTACGACGACAGCGACGACGACGCGTAATTTGAATCGTAATTTATCGTCTGATAATAAAAGTAGTATCATATTATTATTATTATTAAAAAAAAAAAAAAGACAAAAAGAAAACTTATTTTTCGAGAAAAAAAACTATACGGCATGGTGTATACTATACAATATTTCACTCTTTTACAGTCAAATATATTAATGTAAAATTCACATTATTAATTTATATTATTACCACTATTATCGTTATTCCTTGCACCATTGCGCGAGACGTGTCGCGTCGGCCGCCGTTCAAAGGTGAAAATTATTATTAGTACCTATAATGTATACCTATACATTTTATATAAATGCGTATAATATTATAACATCGTGAGGTGTATAGGTACAATCCATTAAGTGCCATTATGCGCGTTGTGCGTTTGTGTCGTTCCCCGAGCGCCGCCGGTCACATCAAAGGAACGGGTGGTAAATCAATTTATTTGTAGGTAAAGAGCACTACGCGCGACCATTAATGCCTTATTATTATTATTATTATTATTATTATAGTCATCATCAAAAGCGCTGCGGTTTTCGACGGACCCCGCGTGGTTTTCTTTTTTTTGGTTTTATTTATTTTGATTTATTATGTTACCACTTACCGCGGATGTGCGCACGGTACACGGACGATGCAATTCACGGCGTTGCAGTCTCCCACACCGTCGTCTACATTTGAGTAGATAATAATATATTAAGCATAATAATGAGAGATAATTTGTCTCGATCGGTAATAAATCATACTACCTATACAATATTATCTTATCTGGTCAACTAGATAATTAAAAAAAAATGTTATCAAATGAATTATTATCTTTACATACGTACATAAATGTGTTATCTTAACTAACTGTTCTAGATAAATAAATGTTAAGTATCTACATTTTTTTGCAAGACATTTAATCCGAAAATCGAGAACTGATACACTGCTGTAGTTTCACTACTTTTTGAGTTTAGGACAACATATGAAACAATAATAATACCGTTGGCGTGGTTTATTAACGTAGTTAATAAGCATGCCGTAGAAGTCGTGTAAAGACTTCTGCGGCATGCTTTTGTACTAACTCAAAACTCTAACTTTCATACTTGGATTTGGAAAACACACGTTTATCGAACAAACACTTAGCATTTCGATAAAATTGTTATCGGCCACGCGCGGCGTTTAAATGTGATTGATGATAAATTAAAAAAAAAATTAAACGTGAATGTTATAAGTTATAACAATTGCTATAATTACATTAACAAAAACAAAAAAAATTCATTATTATTGTTGTCTATAAAAAATGAGAGTCAAAACTATAGCCCCGTTGTTTTTATATTTTATACTACATAATTGTAAGGCTTGACTTTTTAAATTTAGTTAGTATCCTATTTACTATAGACAAAATACTTTGGTGTATTTTCCAATGTCTCTGTTTAAAATATTTGTTTTTATTCTATAAATACCTTTGTTACATTAATATTTAATAGTTTTTACAGTCATGTAACGAAAAAGTATTTCAAAATATGAAAAGTTGTTACTCGCTTGAACCATATTTTAAGTCTTGTAGGGCATAATATAAATAATATAAAGTAAAATTTTTTTTTTATCAACAGCATTTCGAGTTTCATGTGGTTTTGTACAGTTTTGTTGCAGTAAACATTTTTTTTTGTTCTACCTATAAGTTCGTAATAAAAAAAAAAAAAAATAAGAAGACAATCCTGTCAATTCAAACACTGTGCTCTACATTGGTTGTTTAAATATTTAAGAAGTTACTACTTCTACCTGTGTTTGGTTGTTTTCTTTTAGTATGATTAAAATTATTTATAGCTGTTTAACACTCAAAATAATAATAATAAAGTCAGATTTTATTTAATAGCGTTAGGTATGATTTGTATAATTAACAATTATTTCTAAGGAGTCACCAGACAATAGAATAATTTCCAGTTTGTGAGTTTCACAGGCTACTTTAGTATAGTAATATTATTGAGTATTTGTACAGTTTATAAAATAAAAATTAAGCTAGCTTTGTGTTGGTACCAATAGTTTTTATTTTAAAAATATTAAATGTTTACTGTTTAGGTATAATTATTCAAATATAAACGAGGGGTTTTTTTTAAACTAGAAATTATCTATTATTTAGATAACAATTTATATTCTAACCATCTTTCATCTTAAACTAGATAATGTATAAGTTATATTTTTTTGCATTTCTGATCATATAATGACATAAGTCAAAATAGTCGGCTGCAATAAGCACTATTCGCCATAGATAAATTGATTTTCAATATTGTTGCAAGAGTGTACGACATCCGGAACTGCAGTTAAATATGCAAATTTTTATCACATGAAACTTTTCGTTGTCCAGAACACGCCGTAGAATTTATGCACAATTTATTAGGTGAAAAGTCGAAGTGTAGTTCAAGTATTCGAGTGTTGTGTATGAGAAAACCTATTTTTTCAGTATAATATTTAAAATGCATTATAGTTTGGAATATTGCAAAGTATCTCTTAAAGACGATACATTCACATACACATCCACTGCAGAAAAATATGCATAATATTATATAAGTACCTATATCGTGTAATCCATTAGGCATGAATGCAGAATTGCAAAACATCTACGATATTTTCATGATTCGAACTATTGTGAGTTCAAAAATGAAATGAGAATATAGAAGAAAGTAGAATATTACCTATCAGTTATTATGACGCCAATATACAATACCTTCATTTATAAATTATAAGACAGGCAGTGAAATGTAGTTGGAGCTAAATTATGACTTTCCATAGTTATATCCTAATTAGCTCCATCATACTATTACATATTCCGATATTCGTATATATTGTATATTATACAAACGAGACACAATAATGAACGAATTAATTTCATCGTCCGTCACTAGATAATTAATCTATTTCTGATATTTTGCGTACTTATTGCACGTACGTTCACAGTGTTCCACATATAATAATTATTGTAGGTACTATTGACAAAACGCTCCTCAAATTCCGACACGCAAAATATTTCCCGAGAGGCCGACGTGTGGCCAAAGTCATTCGTGTCGTGTACGTTTTTCCTTGGAGTATTGAAAATTTTTCGACTTGTTGTCACTCATTACTTGTCATTCATAGGCCAAAACCCATAAGATCATTTTTAATATAATTGGTAGCGTGGAATAGAAAATATACAATAAACGTAAGATGAAAATTTCAGTAGATATATATTTTTAAATTGTTGTCAAAAGTTTATGTAGAGAAACTATGAAGTTTAAAAACTAGATATGTTTATTCAGATAAAACATAACATAATTAGGTAGGGAAAATTGTATAATTTAAGATTATTTTTTTCAAATACGTTTTGACTATTGTCCAGACAATGGTGGTAAATGTTTTAAGGAGCACAGCATAGGCAATTTAATCTAAGCGTATGTACATAGTAACTACTATATTACTAGCATTATGATAATCACTATTCACTGAATGGTACCATTTTTTAATGCTTGTTTTGTATATTATACACCTTGCGTGTATTTGAAAATTAAATTTATGTATATAACAAATAACGATGGAATTGTTGTCATTTGTCTTACCCTTAATTATTGGTTTTCAATTGTTATTTGGTGTAAATGGTCCATAATAAACCTTTATACACTTCTATTCTTGAAAAAATTGTTTTTGTTTGTCGATGATTCTGCAGTAAATATGCTTGATTTGTTTATTTTAATTTTTAATATACCAGTCCACCATATTTATTGATTTTAATTTGATAAAATTAAAATGTTCCATCTCTGTTACAATAAAGAAGTAACACTTACACTTAGTTTGATTGTAATCAACTTACTAGTATCACAGCACAGGGAAACAGTGACTATCTTATACATATTATTATTGAAATAAATTTAAAAAAATTCAAGAATAACTAAAACATCTTTTATATGGTGTAAAAATAAGAAATCCATTAATACATATTATAGACTAAATTATATAAATTGTTTTATCGTATTTATTTTTCTCATTAAATTCTATTTAATATATGATATGACATATTATTCGTTTTCCTTAATTTGTTACTAATATGTGTAATTTAGTAAAATTGAAATACTTTACTATATTTTAAAACCATTTTGTTAATCTATTTTTAAAAGATAAAATATAATTTTATCGGTGTCATTAATATTGTACCAGTGTACCACATTATAAAATAATAATAAGAATAATAATATTCTGTCAAACTACTATCATAATAGTAATCACTTCTAAGTTCTAGCTATCATAAACGGAAACTAAAACTACATTCAACAAATCGATTTTCATTGTTTCTTCAATATTGCTACTTACTTTACTAATCGTGATAATATATTTTATTATGATAAAATGATACTTAATACTAATGATACTGTAATTATGTATTTTTTTTTTTTAAGCCAATAATATACCTTAAATAACTGTCCCAACTTTTTTTCACTAATAGTCTAATGTCTACTCTGTCATCATTGATCGTTATAATAACTACAATATAACATTAACATTTTAAATAGCATAAGAACTAGTTTTAAAAAACCATAATAGCTAGCAATTTTGATAACTCAAGATAAATCAATGAAATGTTTGTTGCCTTTTTTTGTAGCAGTATTAAATTCATACGATATAAAATATTAAAATAATAATCTGCTGTCAAATTAATAAATTATTAAAATAGTTATCTCTTCTCAGAAGTTATCTACAACGGAAACGAAACGAAAACTACATAAGAAAAAAAATCGATTTTCATTATTTCTTCGTGATAAAATAATTGCCACATTAATAATCGCGATAACATTTATAATATACTTTTATTGGCTTAAGACTGATATTTGGGAACATTTCCGTTGTGTGCGAAGATAGAAGACAGTCCGCCGCGCGCTGGTTATATTATTATTGTTTCGCTTCGACCGGCGCACGGGCAGTACGAACGAAACATAATAATAAAGTCGTCTCGTCACTCATCAATATATAAATATTAGGTACCTATGTATTATTTTAAAATATATATTCTTTAAATATTTCTTCTAAATTAAATTCGTTCTCGTAAGTTATTCTGTCTCGTACAAATTAATTATCAAAGTCCTACCTAACCTAACCTGATATTGACAATCGTCGTTACAATTTTTTTCACACTGACAGCAATGGAAGTCAAAACCGAAATCGCCGGGTCGGACTATACCCACGCCACCGGTGCATCCAAGGCCGGTTCGGCATATATGGTGCAGCGGAAATATTCCTACGACATTGGTAACGGTAACAGAAGCAACAACGGTCGCAGTTACAACCACATAGGTAAGGGCTCCAACAACAACAACAACAACAACAACAACGTCGTTGACATACTCGACTTGGCCGTGCCGCAGTCCAAGGTCAGGCCAATCGACCGGCTGTTGGACAGATACGACTGGTCGTCTGTGTCGATGATGCCACTGCTGCAGAACTCCGATCGTCCGCAGAGGACGCAGGACGACCAACCGCTGTCTCTACCAGGCCGATCAGCGCCGTCACCGCCAATTCGACCACAGGCTCCAAGACGACCACTGCCGCCGCGCCCACCACCAACGCGACCACCGAAAAAATGTGCCTTGGAATTTTCCGACCTCGAGCTACCTGTAGTCAGGAAGTCTCCATGGAAACGCACACGTGAGTTGGTGAGCAGTTTCTTCGTACGCGCCGCCGCCGCTGTACATAAGGTGAATTGCTGTTGGTCACGCTAATGAGATAAAATCGGTAAGACCCTGTCCAATTATTGTTATAATCGTTTTTTTATTATTATTTAACGGCCCCTTCCTAAAACAATTTGTATTTCCTGCAGTCGTTCAAAAAAAAAAAATTGTAATTTTTAGTTTTAAAGTATGCGTCAGGGTATCTATTAAGCTTGGGAGTGGAGTGAGAAACTTATAGGCTTGTACAACTCAAAATATTTATGTATATATTATAAGTTTATGTAATTTTTTAATTAATAATAATAGTCGACGGATAACTAGAATTCAACAAAAATATTATTAATATACACGCGGTTTGTGTACAAATTAAAAATAAATTATAGGTACATTAATGGTTTTATTATTTTTACTCAATAAATCTATATCATTTTGTTTGTGTTCGCCCCGTGCGACAGTATATTTTTATAATTCATAAATTCCCATTGAACGCATCAAATCTCACGCACAAATCTCATCGGACTTGTATTACCTACATGATAAGATAATACAGGTGTAGTATTATGTTATATGACTTGCAAGCATACTGTTGGCATACTGAATGTTTCAATCGAATTTCGCGGTTGTCCGGTATACTCTGTATATTCAATCCACGTGCAATATACAGAGTGGGCTGCAGTGTTATCTACACGTCCTATAGCCTCATAACTCATATCATTATTATAGAGCCTTTGAAAAAAAACCTCCACAGTTACCGCTCTGCATATTTAGACTCGGCGTGTATACTCGACTATAGCTGAGTCAAGTCTCCGACTGCGCGCAGTGCGTCATCCGCCATGATAATTCAGTTCGTAAGATTCTTAAATACTCCATCTCCGCTTCATTCTGTTCCATATAGCCACTTAGTTTATCGGTTTTCATCGTTTGTTTCAACCGTGTTACCAATTTTTTATTTTAAACATTTTTATTTAAAATTCTACATCATAATATTATTATTATCTCCCGAATGGTTCCGAGTATTATTTTTTCAAAGCTTTGCGTATGATTAAATATAATGTTTAATAATAAAGCAGAAGTAGAATATTATTCAATGTCTTATATAAATTGTATTATGTATTATTATCATCATTAAATTAACTTTTATGACAAAATGTTTTATACATTTTATCATCAAAACTATTATATTGTGTATTATTATTATTATTATATGGACTTGACTACTTCAAAATGTTTTATACAATAATTTTTTTGAACTTATTTGCATACCTATTATTAAGTATACACATTTATATAGTATAAATAAATATATATGTATTTTAACATTACAAGAATTAAATTACGTCTTTTTAATTTTTATGTATCAAAGATTGAGTAACATCATTGATTTTATAAAATAATAAAATCAATGGTAACATACATTTAAACTAAAACCATAAAATATGCTAAGTGATTTTGTATCAAGAATTCTCTTAATTTACTACTGTACGTATCAAGGTTATTTAAATAAAAACTAGAAGCTAGTAGCAACGATTAACGATCAATGTAAAAAAAATATATTTTTATTAAAGAATCAATACACTAAATATGCATTTGTATTTAATCGAAATACGTATTAGCAATTAGTACAATAATTACAAACAAGATAAGAAAAAGCGAACGACACGAACATAATGATACATCAACCTTTTTTTTTTTATTTCCATACAGCGAATTTTAAGTTTGAAATAATTAATAAATTAAATATAGCTATACTGATAAAATATAACCTAAATCAAATTCAATAACATCTACAAATACTAAATTTGGTCGATTTCAATAAATTAATCATGACAAATACTGACTGTTGTCAGTAAATTAAATATTTAGTCGGCTATATTATATTATTAATATTAAATTCTGCGATATACGTAATAATGTTGGATGAAGGTTTAATTAATTCGATGTTATTGCAATATTATATTACCGTTGATAAGTATCATCGTAGAACAAATTATTATAATTCTATGGTATCATGCTATTCTTAATTAATACAATCCATACTTCGCTACCAGCCAACCGGTAACTGCTACCTACCTGTTTACGATATATTTTACCATAGGAAATGGTTATGTAAAAAAATAATATTGATACAGGATAAAATATATTAATATAGTATACCAATGAAAACGATTTAAGTATATTGTATATTATAATATTTTATATTTATATTTATGCAATATGTGTACACATTATTTTGTTTCTTCTAATCGCTTTTAACACTAGTTATTAGTGATCTATAAATTAAAGCGACTTTAAAAAATGAAACAATGAATAATTAAAAGTATATAATAATAAATCAATTTCAGTGGCATTATATACTTATATATTTTAATTTTTATCATCACATCGTGCTTCATGGAACTGTATGTAGCGAGTAGTCACAATTTCAAATTCTACTATATTATGGTAGTACTGAAAATATTCATAAGTATCTTAATCCTTAAATATCCTTAATTGTATTATTAGATCAATAAAAACATTGGTGAGTTGGTATCTATCACTGCAACGATAGCAACAAGAGTCGTGACTGACTGAGTGACAACTGTATTATTATTTGAATAATTATGTATTTTATACACGTATAGAAAGTTATTCTTAAATATAAATATGGAAACTTGAAACAAAAAGTGTTCCGGGTAAATTACGTGCGATACATCATGCATTAGGGATTTTGCAAGGGTCAGAATGTGGTGGTGGGAGTTCAAAAGAAACCGAAAGGGTTAAAACTTAAAAACAAATATGAAGAAACAGTGTTTTTTTAATTAGTTTACAAACGTGACCATACAGTTAGTGGTCATAGCCATCCAACAACATACTACAATACACACACACATATACACAGATTCGTGTGGAAACACGTTTCCGGTGCTGTAATGCCGTCGACAATTGGAACCGGAAAGCGGTCAAAAGGTTTTTTTTTTTTTTAATCGATTTGAAGAACATAATAATTGTTATAACTATTGTCGTTGTTGGGTAGTCCGTGTAATTTCGGCGTGTCTCAGGTGTTGGGACGGTAAGCCCTACCGATTACGCTCCTACAAAACGCCACTGGGTCCTTCCTCGACCGGCGACCGACCCTCGTTACTACCTCACCACGTCCACGTAGCACGCACAAAAGTCTTTCTAATCGATAAAACAACGAGCACTTCCACGCACACACACTCACACCTACACAGGCCTCCGCTGTTTGGTTAGCTATATATTCCTATACCGGTCCCCGCGTGGACCACCCCACCGATGGTTTGATATAATATATGTATAACGCGTTTTTAGTATAGTCGTGCCACACACGGACGCGTCGTATATTGTTTCGTCGTTTGCGGCTCATTTTTTTCCTTTCTATTTTCTATAATATTTTTCTTTGTTTTTCGTTTTTGCGTCTACCCGGATAAACTATATTATTATATTATATTATTATGTTGTCTGTACGCCGCGCGAACGAACGATAATATAATACGATCCTTTGTAGGACAGCCGTGGCCCTACCTTAAAAAACCGTTTTTTTTTTTTGTACCCTTTTTCAAATATTTGTTTAACGACGAGGGGGGACGCCCGTCATTCGCTTGCACATCTAGAGGGGATGGGAGGTCAAAACGACGGATATCTCACCGGCATCCGTATTCTCTATCAATTGACGGTTGCGGACACCGTGCAGTTAGGTTTCGATAAAAAATTAACAAGATCGATAAGTTCCAGAAATATAGGGTGGCCATTGTATCATGTTTAATAATATTGTTGATCATAAAGTATGGTTAAATCGATGATAATACATGCAGGTATACGACGTACAAATTATGATTTATGATTATTATTATGGTTTGGGACTGATTACTTGGTTTCACAATACATCTTAGGTATATGTAGGTATATGTATGTATACCAAAATATCTATAGGGTTATGTATTTATTTTATTAATTCATATTTAAAACGTGTCGGTCCATTGTTATTATAAAGGCCACGAGTTTAATTATTTTACTCAATGATGCAATTATGTTCAGCATTTGTATACTATAATGGTACAAACTACAAATACATGTTTGGTGTATACCTGCACAAAACGAATTAAATATACTATGTATACACTTTTACGTACTTTTCAACCGGAAAATTAAATAAGAAGATGACATGAAAATGGCCCTTCGTGATTATTGTGAGTACATAAGTTTGCATGTAAAATAGCATAACTAACTGCTCGTTATGAGTTTGATTATTATTTTTGTTTTTCAATCACGCGATATGCGATATTATATTTAAATAATCTCATGATAATTAAATACAAATATAAGCTGTACAGCGCGTACTTTACTTTTATAATAACTCCGTATTATTATCTGTTTGGGATTATCGCTAAATGAATATGTATGTTATTTATTAATATTTACATGTTAGACCTTTTGATAAGGATGATTTGTGATGGTTAAATATTATTAAGTTGGGTGTAATTAAATTATATTTACAATTTTAGTACACGAATAATCTACATGAATGGAAAAACAATTTATATATATATTATACAATAATTACACAATTAAATACAATGATAGTTAATACGACAAGAAATATTCAAGTTAGTGGTGACGCTGTGTCAAAAAAGCCAATTTCACCAGTATAATAAGTAGAACATATAATATTGAGTAAAAAAAAAAAAAAATGTAAGTATGCTATAGAGTTAAGAGTTTCACCCTTGAAATTGATTAATGATTGGGAAATTGATTGCACTAATTGGTTGTATATTTGGATATTACGAAGAACTAGGTAGTTAAATATTTTAAATTTTTAGAACACCTCAATTATTAATAGTTCCAGCCAATATAAGCTGGTTAGTAAGAAGTGAAATAGCCATGTGTTAGCGGTTGGGTAAGAAATTTAAGTTATCTAACAAATTTAAAATGCGTCATTGTACATTATGATACAAGTTGACTCAAATTACTCTTGGTAGTTGGTATGGTTATAGCATTCCACAGTGAGACACACAACCACATACAAACGTACATAATGTACTTTAACTTTATGTGATTTAGATTCAGACACATCACAAATATTGTTTCTTACTGATTTAAATAAAATTCTCATATTTTTAGAGTTCTTAATATCTTATATAAAATTGTATTTAAATTTTAAACTCATTGTCTAGTGTTAAGATGTAATTCGAAAAAAAGAATACTCTATTTATAAAACCATAAGTATCGCCAATGGTCTTTAATTTGTTCTTAGTTACTAGTTTACAGCCAAATATATAATAGCATACATTTATACGAGAATAAGTCAGATGCCCAATATATGCGGGAACGCTGCACGGTACCTATGAATATTAATCATAAAAGTTGAAAACTTGTCTGAATCAGGCATTCAGCATAAAGTAAACCACTCTACAAATTGATTTAAATCACTCTAGGGTTTGAGACAATCGTATAAAGAATGTATTCACAAAAATAATTACACGTCATCAGCAATGCATTTAAATACAATAGTTAAATACGTTCCTACTAATATAAAATCTCGTGTCCCGCGTGCGTGTATTTGACTAATAATACTTACCAAAAATGTTTTCCCAGAGAATGATTAATACCAAGTTATCATAATTGGACTCGTTCACGATTTGCACACCATGAACATATTAATATATTATTATTATTGTAAGAGGGTGAAACGATAACGTTTTAAAGGGGTTTATTGTATAATTGCTAACATAAATTTGGCTGGCACGACTTGACATACGACGTATATATATATATATGTACTGAATATAGAACATGGATATTATAAAAAATTTAAATAAAACTATGCTATATTATGGGCGTAATATAATTAATATGGCACTACTGGCACCTTCCTTGATGAACAATTTGGTGGCTATATACCTAATAATTTCTATAAACGAGCGTCTTAACGTATATACTATAGGTATACGCGTAGTTTTAATCCATTTTCTTCGTGAAAGTTATTTGTTATGGTGATTGGTGAACATATTATAAAGGGTTTAAATGTATTATA